CCAGGACTCCTGACGCCTGACCCTCCGGGATGGGGCGCGCGGGCTCTCGGGAGGACTCGGCCCCATGGGGCCTGCGTGCGCTTTGCCAGCAGGACACACAAATGGCAACGCGGGGCGCTTTTTGAAGAAGTTTATTAAGAGATTACACCAAAAGCATAAACAAATACGCCGAACTCCGAAAAAACAAAACAAACCAATAAAGATGTCTTAAAAAAACGACAAAAAAGTACTGTACTCACAAATAACAAGACGGATTGGACATAATAAATAGAAATGAAGTGATGACTTAAAACCTTATATGGAAACAGAAAAAAAGTCGTCTTTCTACAATTTTGAATGGGCGCCCGACGCCTATGTATAAAAACACTGGCAAAGTGAGAGAGAGGCTCGCTGCGACTCCAACTGTATGAGTACATTTAGGTTTAAGGCTGTCCCTGCGCAAGGTCCCAGGTCCCATGCACTTTCTAACGTGCAAAGTCCGAGGAGACCTCGGTCCAACATCAAACCCTCACGGGGGTTGAGCATTTGCGTGCGCATCAGTATGAATCTGTCAGCCCATCTGAAGATCATGGTCAGCACCTTCCAAATCCAACACAGACTGGATGAAGTCAGGAAACTAGGAGGAAGAATGAACAGCAATCCACAGACCTTTTGCATCTTTTCTGGCCTTCAGTAGACCGGAGTCATAAAGAGCACAACCATACTGCATGAGGAATTCAGTTTAGCGTAAGCTTTTCAAACATTCACGTAACAGAGAAGATATAATACAGTCAATGAAAAAGAATTGCTGGCATCACTTTTCCCCCACAAAATTACATAAAAGTGGACAAAACATTAAATAGACATTTTGTCATTAAATATATTAACACCAAAAATCATGTATAAATTAGGAAATAAATGTACAAACTATTTCACAAAGTGCTTTTTAAAATATATACACAACATTCAAGATATTCTTAATGTAAGACATTCCAGATTGAAATTTTGGGGTGATGAGTTTTTAAGTGTCCTTTTTCTTTCAAAAAGCATTAATACAGCACTTAAAAAAATTGACACATATACACATAAAAGGCATATTCCCAGATTGGCAAGGAATAAAAACTATCTTCACAGTTACATAAATATTTATCACTTTGAATGGGGAATTTTAGTCCCCAGTTGAGTTCTATAAAAACTAAGGAAAAGAACAAAATTGAGATGATTCCCTAAATGAAACTGCTAATACCTTTGTCATTAGCAATTAAAAACTATCATTTTTGTGATTTAATTTGGACACACATATTTTTCAAGCCCTTACCAGTTGTTAAGGGTTTTGTAGACCCTATGTGTACAAAATAAATACTTCTATGCCCATGTTTGTTGGTATCTGTCCCATAGAAGAGGAAAGAACATCCTAGGATAGGATTGGTAGTCAAAATACACAAAGCCTCTAATCAGCCTCAGTTCTTCATCTGTAAATGGGAATGGTACCTGCGCTGTATTTTCCAGGTGACTCTCATTATTAATTCAATCAACACCCCTGCCTACCAACAAAATAGCTTTATAAATTCTAAAGCACTCAACTCTGGATTAAAAATTACATTTGAGTTTTAAAACATAACTATTATGAGTTAAAGAAAAACATCTTCAATAGGCCTAATACATTAAGCATTGGATATATTTCATATTTTCCTGGTAGTTCTTGGAAATACATCAGCATTCATCAGAAGGTTTGTTTTTTTTAAGGAGTCATAGTAGATATGGTTTTATTATTCAAGTAAAGGTTGATCTAATATCCATGCTACTTATTAGTGGAAATAGAGGATTTTTAATTTGACTATTTTCCAAGTGAGCTACACAGAATTTATATGGCACTGAATGTCTTAAGGATGTAAAGCTTATTCAAATTTTATTATATAAAACTTTTAGTTTCCCTTCAAAAGAATATAGTAAGGTTTTGGGGATAATTTTTAAAAGTAGGATATGGATTTCAGACATCCCTATAAGAAAAGGGACACTTGCTTGGAGATCTGAACAAGTAGTAGGTCCTAGAAGAAATAATATGAAATAAAAATCTTGCCAACCATTTGGAAAACTTGGTATCAATACTTTAAGTTATTTCTGTTTAGGATTGGGCATTTAAAATACTCAGATCCTAAAAATGATGTACAGCTTAGCACAGGCCAAAGCTGAAACAGTTTCTGACGGCCCAGCTGGCAGAGAACTGCCATCACTCTTTAGCAACACAGCAGTCCGGGGCTCAGGTGAATCCCAGGAAGACGAACCTTTTAGAGCTCTCAATGATATAAACAGCCACTGTGGCAGGTGTGTTGCAGGTTCACCACCACTAGCCTAATCGCATGCTGCCCTCACCAACTCCTATTTATCTGGAATTGATCACTCTTCATTGCTAATACAAAGACATACACCTTTTTGGATAAACGGAATTAGTGAGAGCGCAAGCAATGGGCGAGCTCTGGAAATGGAGGTACGAAGCCTCTCCAGGTGAAGCACGTTTATCCTTGTCATGGAATAACAAAGACCGGCCTACAACACAGGCAGTGCCCCAGCCCCCATCAAGGCAAAGCAGAGGAGGCCAACCAGAGCTGCAAGTACAGTTACAGAAACGTCTACAACCCGGCGCGACACTGGCATGAGGAGAGGGAGAAGACCGGGGCTCTTGATGTAAATCATGGATCATGGAGTCTTTTATATACGTCCCATTTCTGGACACAGCACGGATAACAAGATGACCCCCAAAGGTAGCTAGGGAATCAAGAAGGGGTTGGGGGACAAAAAAGGGACAACCTCTCCACTGTATCAACATGTAATACTATATACAGCACCAAAGGTGTCACGCCATCGCAGCGCTGTCTCGCGCCAGTGGTGCACGCTCAATGTCATACCCAGCATGAAATGAGCACGCTTCACATGCAGACGTGGCATGGGGCAAAGGGTAACCAACATGTTACAATTCCTCTGAGCTGCTGCTGGCCCATCCGTCCCTGGGCACACAGGCTGCCACAAAGACTCCAACAAGAACGTTTGTCCCTTATTGCTGGTAATTTCCATACTGGCCCTAAAAGAGATCAAGACATAGATTACAAGTCTATGGTCCTGAGCAAAGGGACCATACCTAAAGGTAGAACGGACCCTTGTTTTCAGCCAACATCCAGGGTGAGCAATGGAAGGAAGGAGGCACAGGGGCAAGCAGGTGAATGTGAACTGGAGAGCACCACTTCTAGAAGCCACTCACCCATGCCTGGGGCTGATGCCTTAGAGCAGGGAAAGTCAAAGGGCTCCCTGCAGACTGGGCTCAGCTGGAGGCCTAAGCACACCTTATGCTTGCCCTGCCACAAAGGCAGGCTGCCCAGGCAGAGGCCAGGTGCTGAACTCCCATGGGTGACTCATGTGCAGCAGGGCAATGCAACTCTCCAACATGCTCAAGTAGGAAACGGGAACGGGGTGACCCGTGTGATAGGATTTAGTCGATACAAAATCTGAAGAACAGAACTGGAGCCCATGTCCAGCATGGCTGCAGGATAGGAGGCTGAGGGGATGACCTGACCCAAGGAGAAGAGCTGCTCCGCAGACTGCTGTAGATAAGGACACTGGTCACTCATCGCATGCCCCCTTCTGCTCGCCCCAACTGGCTCATCACCAGGTCTGCTGGGAGGAGGGAGAGCTGCTGGACTAAGCAGGAAGCCCGCGTGCGTCACAGGGCACATCCCCTGTATGGCTGGCCGTCCTCACTCTCAGAGTGGCCGCTGGGAGTCTTACGAGCAGAAGCAACTCAGGTGGGTCTTGCTGCGGCTGGCATCCATGGACAGAGCCGGGATGTGGCAGGCATCTGCTGGTGGGCCCGTGGGACTGTCACACACAGTGCATATGTCTGCAGCATCCTGGGTCTCTACTCACGGGTGCCAGGAGCACCGCTATCTGACGGCCAGACACATCTCCAGACATTGCCAAGTATACCCTGGGGCAGTGCTGGGCTGGCTGGCAGAGCTCTGGTGTTGGGGCTCCTTGTCTCACTAAGTTGGGCAGGAGCAGGTCTGACCCCACAGCCCACAGCTGCACTTGGCCTCCTAGATTGCACTAGCTTTGTATTCTGGGGTTAAATAGATGCTTTTCTCTCTAAAATGTATTGCTATGTCTTTTTTTTTTAGAGGTAGGCATAAACTTAGGGGTCTTCTGGTCCAGTCTGTCATTTGGCTGGAACCTTCACAAGTCCTTTTATAAATCCCAAAGGTGTTATTTCTGCACCCTGTGGAGGAGGCTTTCTGTCTCTTCAAAACCATGCTGGCAACTGCAGTTTTGGGACAGCTGTAGGCCGTGCCCTCCTGGCTTCTACATGTTGCTCCCAGGTAGGCGATGTTCCCGGTGCCCACCCAGCGGGCTAACCTCAGAACCCACCCTAACCTGTGGTACCAGCCCACATGTGGGTGGTGCAGCCCTGGCCGTGCCCAGCACTCACAAGGGGCCCCATGGAGCTATTTCTCTTCATGCCACACAGGCTTGCTCCTCTAAGTTCACCAGGGAGGACTGGACAGCTTTTATGCCATGTTGAAATCCAGACTTCTCACTGGCTTACTCTTGACCTTCAGGAGCAGGCTGAGAAGTAGCTTTTTACTGTTTTCCATGGTGAACAACCATGTTCAAGATGGTGCTCTGAAACTCCACCAGCTCTGAGCACCTCATGAACGCCTTTTACTGAGCACAGGGTGACCCTGGAGCAGTTGCCGCTTGCCAAACCAACATCTAAGAGAATTCTATCATTCACACCCATGCCCGTCCCTGAGCTTCCTTCCAGCTCTCTTGACAAATCTGCTACTGCTGGCTGGGAGTGGTGATGCATACCTGTAATCCAGCACTGGGAGGCTGAGGCAGGCGGACCACTGCGAGTTTGACGCCAGCCTGGGGTACATAGTGAGACCATCTCAAAAAACAAAGCCAAAGCTGGGTATGGTGGTGCACGCCTATAATCCCAGCACTTGGGAGGCTGAGGTAGGAGGATCGAGACCAGCCTGGACTACATAGTGAGTTCCAGGTCAGTCTCAACTACATAGTGAGACCCTGTCTCAAAAAAACCAACCAACCAACCAACAAAACTCCCCAAACAAAACAAAAACCAAAAACCAAACCAAAACAAACAACAACAACAACAACAAAAAAAACAAAGCCAAACCTGCTACTGCCCCAGGTAGTGGCATGTCCTCTTCCCGAGCGTGGCTTGTTCCCACTTTTGGGCCCCTGTCCCACTCAGAGCAGAGGGCAACTCCACGAGAGATCTGTGAAGCCCCGTGCCTCCCACTGCTCGCCTGTTCCTCACTGACACAGGAGGCTGCACTCCTGTCCACAAGGAATTCCTTTCTGTGGGCCCCTTTGGGACCTCGCCTGATTCAACCCTGGCAGATGGTTTCCTAGAGCCGCTGGGCTGACCAGTGAGAGCCCCTGCCCATCATTTCAACTCTGTGCCCTCTGCAGCATCTTCCTGCAACAGTCAGCACCTGAGAGTAACCTGCTGCCCTGCTTCCCTACCTGGACCGCCAGGTCCGTGCCGGACTTCCTCTGCTTGGCCCTCGTTCGATCCCTGGCCCCCAGAAGTCTGGCTCCCTCAGGTGAGTGACTACCTTCTTAACAGTAAGCTCTAAAAGCTCAGGGGCTGTGTCACCACCGTCCCAAGCACCCAGCAGAGACCCGAGGTGGGCCAGGAGCATAGTAAATGTTTGCAAAATGAATCAGCAGTCACATGTGCAGACCTAACGGTAAGTCTGGGGTATAAAAAGCCATCTGCCTGACTGAGGGGAGTATATATGAAGAGGTAATTTTAAAAAACCTTACAGGCTCAGAGAATTAACATTCTGGAAGGGGCCCTGGAAGCCAATTAGTTCCATTCCATTTTTCCTCATGACCATAGAGAAATCTTCACTATGTCTCAACAGACACAGCGGACGGGCACATGTGGAAACACCCAGAAAGCTTGCCTGCTCATAGCCGTAGGGGCGCTGCTGCTGGGCAGAGGGTCCTGTCTGCGACGCTCTGTAGCTTCCGTACTGCTGGCCTTGTCCTTGCTGGTAGCTGGAGTACTGCGAGGGGGCTCCCTGGGCAGGCCCTGGGGAAACACCAGGATCCAGAGGCATGAGCACAGCATCACAAACATGCCTATCCACGCAGCAAGAGAGCCATGCAGACAACAAGCCAGTCCTGTAAGGGCCAGCGTTGTGCCCCTTGCCACCGGGTGGCTGAGGCCTCTCCCCGCACACCTGGACCTGCTGCTTGCTCTTCTGGACTAGCTTGTATCAGTCACAGTGGATAAACATGTACTTTATGGGTCTCAGGGACTGAGGGGAAGAGGTTCTGTAAAAACTAAGTTGAAGGTGTTGGAAAGTATCAGCAAAGGTGAAGTATATTTTATTTACCCCCCGCCTCCCGTACTAGGGATGAACCTAGGGCCTTGTGCATGCTAGGCAAGTGCTCCACCACTGAGCCACAGCCAAGTCATTTTTAAAATGCTATTGTAATGGTTAGAACACTGAGCAGTCTTTCTTTTTTTGCAGTACCAACGATCAAACTCAGGACCTTGCCAGGCAGGCATGGCGCCCCTGAGCTACATCCCTGGCCAAATTGAGCAGTCTTTACCTGTGGTTTCCTCCTTCCCCACATATGGGGCCCAGCCTGAGAACTGCTCAGCTAGTCTGGGCTGACCCCAGCTCCTTAGTTTTCAAAAGCTGCTCTGGTGATGCTCAGATGCTACAGAGGCTGAGACTTAAGGGGCAGCGCTGCTTCCTCAGAGCCAAAGCTGATACACAGGATGGGGCCTGGGCTGTGGTTTAGAAAGATGTTAGCTCTTGGAGGGAGGCCCCATGCGGATGGATTTGCCTTTATCTGCCTTTATTTTCTTTAAACTACAATGTCTCAGCTGGGCGTGGTGATGCATGCCTGTGATCTCAGCACTCAGGCCACTGAGGCAGGAGGATTGCAGAGTTGGAGAGTTCTAGGCCTGCCTGGGCTCATACTGAGTTCAAGGCCACCCTGAATTACACAGTGAGACCAGTTTCAAGAACAAACATTTCAGGGGCTGGATATGTGGCTCAGAGGTAGACCCTGAGTGAGGCCCTGGGTCTCATTTCCAGCACCATAAACTAAGCCATTCTGGGCTCATCTCTGAGGGTGCTGAGGACTCACTAGCTCACTCCTGACGAGCTCATCTCCTGCTCATTCTGACCTATCTGGCAGGAGGCCTTTACTGAGCCTTTTGAGTGTCTTGTTATATAGTTCAGGCTGGCCTTGAACTCAAGGCACCATCGTGCCTCAGCTTCCGAGTACGAGGACCACAGGTGTGTGCCACCACACCTGGCTTTTACTGTACATTTTAATTTTTTTTTTTTTTTTGAGACAGGGTCTCACTATGTAGTTGAGACTGACCTGGAACTCACTACGTAGCCCAGGCTGGTCTCGGATTCACAGCAATCCTCCTGCCTCAGCCTCTCAGAGTGCTGGGATTATAGGCGTGCGCCACCACACCCGGCTCACTGCATTTGTAAAAACAGAGTCTTGATAAACAACTGAGGATGGCTTCACTCTTGATCCTCCTGCCTCAACTTCCCAGGTGTGCAGCATCACACGCAGCTCTTGCTGTGCACAGGATGTGCCGAGGGTCTGGGTGGGCAGCACGCAGAGGCAATGTGAGGAAGTGGCTGTCTTGGGAAGGACACACTGGCCCTGGGTTGCAGGAGCACCTGGAGTGCTGGCCCTGCTGTGGAGCTTCCCGGAACCACAAGGTAGGGATGGGGGTCTTTCCAGTGGGACAAGATCCCGAGAAGAGAGGACCGACAAGTTTAGAGCTCTGGCAAAGGCTGGCCTCAGAAAAGCTGGGTTTCTTTTCTGCTCATCTCTTGGTAAGGGGACAGAAGCTGAGGCCTGACAAGCACTTGGGCAAGGCACTGGGTGAGAGTGACACAGAGCCAGGTGCAGAGGATACCTATCTGTACCTGATCCCAGAGTCTCTTATTATTGCCAAGAAAAAGCAGCATCTCATCCTAGGGCTGGGGCAGGAAAAATTGTGCGGCACAGAAAATACAGATGTACTAAAGAAAAAAACCAAAACACAAACCAAAAAACCCAATGAAACAATAAAAAAACCCCGAAGGAACATAGGAGCCAATTCAAAGAGCTCCCAGGGGCCAAAACTGGAGCAACTTAACAAATTACAACCCCACATGTAAAATTAATATCTATGAATACATACTAAAACAAATAAATGGCTGAGCGGGCGGAAAGGACAGTCTCCTTGCACAAGAACTCCAGAGAATGTAAGGTAGATAACCCTCATGCAGGGCATGGTGACTCGCGTTGGAAAACAAATGGTACCTGGCCACATGAGTGTGTGCACTGGCCGTGCTAAGAAGCTCCTCCACTATTCTTCCCAAACCTGGGACCGAGCCCCAGGTGGAGAAAAACATCAGACAAACACCAATGAAGGGCATTATACAACATGCCTGCCTGACCCAAGCACCCTGAAACTGTCAAGGTCACAAAAGACAGGAAGGTCTGAGACACTCACAGACAAGAGAAGCCCAAGGAGACATGATGAGAAAGGTCGTGTGGGACCCTGGATCGGGACAGGGACAGAAAAGGACACCAGGGGGAAACTAGTGAGGTCTGAATGAAGCGTGGTGTTTAGGGTTAGCAATGTAGTAATGCCACCTTCTTTTTTTCTCTCATTGAGTTTATCGGTACATTTTAGGTATACAGTACAGTTACATTCATCATTGGGATCTTGTACCTCTACATGACAGGTCTTGGTTCTCCCCACCTTCTTATCTGACAGCTGCACCCTGGGAATGTGTGTCCATTGTGGGGGAATGGGGTGCTGGGTATGTGCCAACTCTGCACTATCCTTGCAACTGTTCTGGAACCTGAAACTATTCCCAAATGTTTACTAACCCCCACCTGAATGGAGTGTTCAATGTGCATGGTCCATGTGTGTGAGGGCACTGGGAGGGCTCCCCAAGGGAAGATGCGTTCTCTTACCATAGCCTTGCTGCTGCCCAGGGTAGCTCTGCTGGCTGGGGTACTGCTGCTGGGGGTATGTCTGCTGCTGGGCTGTGCCCTGCTGGTACCCGGCCTGTTGCTGGCTGTACTGGGAGTTCCCTGTGGAAAGAGGGGGCACAGTTCATTTCCAGCCAGAGAGGGTGGCTTGCTAATACCACTGAAGTGCAGGTAGCCATGGCGTCCCTAGACCATATCTGCTGCCTCAGTAACAGCAGCAGGTTTTTTTTCATAATTCAAATATTACATTTTCTCATTATTTTATAAAAACACAAGCCAGGGATTTAGCTCAGCGGCATTGCACCTGCCTTGCAAGCCAAGGTCCTGAGTTCAATTCCTTGTACCAAACAAACACAAATGAAGTGATTAATACAATTAAGACAAAGGCAATGACACTATTGGGAGCTGAACTGTGTCCCCCAAAGATGTGCTGAAGTCCTAGACTGGGAATGTGGCCCAACAGGGGTCTTTGCAGATGTGATCACATGAACTCGACCCAGTCCACACAAGGGGAAGTGTGGACACACAAAGAGAAGGCCATGTGGCCAGGAGGTAGAATGGGTGCTGCTGCTCCAAGCCAACGACCACTGGTGGCTCCCAAAAGCTGGAGAGGCTTGAACAGACCTCCTCTGAGCCCACTGCAGGAAGCAGCCCTGCTGACTCCCTGACCTCAGGCTTTGGGCCTCCAGAGTTCCAAGGGAATGGATTTCTGTTATTTCAAGATGCCCAGTTAATTGTCCATGTGATGGCGGCCCCAGGATACCAGGCAGCTCATAAGCACAAAGCAAGTCTGGAAGCAAGTGGATAGAAAGGGTGGTCAACAGCAGACTTGGTTGTGAAGAAACGTGTGTGTTCTAATAGAAATATGTGGTGTTTACTATTATTTAAGTTTTGGGCCGGGGACTTAGCTCAGCGGTTCAGTGGCCTGCCTTGCAAGTGCAAGGACCCGAGTTCAATCCCTGGTACCAAAAAAAAAAAAAACCCAAAAGTTTTATTACAGTAAAAGGTCTGTTGTCATGGATCCCTCTCAAAACACTCTCCCTCACTTGGAATACACTTATCCCATCGCTTCTGGCCACTTTCTGAGGCAGTTCTGGAAGTCCCCTTTTGTAGTGTTGTGGCTGCTACCTCAAAGTCCTGAAATGATTCAAATGTTTTTCTTTCATAGTCATTTTGACTTTGGCAGAGCAGGAGTTTGTATGGTGCCAGGCCTGGTGAATAGGTGAATCAGGACACACAGTCATGTTTTTGTTTTGTTTTGTTTTTGTACCGAGGAATGAACTCAGGACCTTGAGCTTTCAAGGCAGGCAGCAGAACCACTGACTGAGCTAAATCCCCAGCCATGGTAATATATATATTTTCTTGGTACTGGAGATCGAACTCGGGTCCTTGCGCTTGCAAGGCAGGCTTTGGAACCACTGAGCTAAATCCCTGGCCCCAAAAGTAATGTTTTTGTAAGCCTGCCTTTCCATCGGATGGCACTCGGCAACAGTATGGTTTTTTTATTGTTTTGTTTTGTTTTTTGAGACAGGGTCTCACTATGTAGTTGAGACTGCCCTGGAACTCACTATGTAGGTTCAGGCTGGTCTTGAACTCACAGCGATCCTCCTGCCTCAGACTCCTGAGTGCTGGGATTATAGGCATGTCCCATCACACCTGGCATCAGTGTGAGTTTTGATCACCCTTCATGAAGACATTCACAAAAGACAACTTCCAGAACTGCTTCAGAAAGTGGCAAGAATTAGTTGGGCAGGGCGATGCACTATGGAAGGCTGAGACAGGAGGATCTTAAGTTTGAGCCCAGCCCAATGAACTTGTTATTGCTTTTTTTGGGGTTTCTAGTCTACTCTGAAATTTAGGCTGACCTCAAACTGGAGGTGGATCTTTCTGCCTCTGCCCGCATGCTGGGAATATAGCCATGTGCCACCAAGCCTAGGCTCAAAAAAAAGAAAAGAAAAAAAAGGAAGTAATAAGAGCTATAGAGTGTGCTATTCATGTCCTAAGGCATGGACACGCACATCCCATCACCACGCCTGCCTTCTCCTTGTCTGTTGTTATGGCTTGTGTCTAGATGTCTCCCCACAGCCTCATGCGGTCACAGGTGAGGCTAGATCTAGAGTGTGTGCTGCTGGGATCAAGGATGTGATGCTGGGATTGATTCATGTTGCAATTGTAGGATTAAGGTTGCCCCACCTTGGATGTGAGTGCTACCCACAGGTAGCCTGGATAAGACAGGAGAGACAGAGGGTGGCTGCCTGTTGTGTGTAGCTGGCTGCTTGCTGCCTTCTGCCTGCCATGGACTTTTTCTCCTCTGCAATGTCTCCCTCTGCCAGGCCACCTAGCCCTGGAGCCAACCAAGTATGAACTGAAACCTCTACAAACTGTGAGCCAAATAAACCTTTCCAATTTTAACTTTGGTTGTCAGGTATCTCGTTTCAGTAACAAGCAAAGTAACTAAGACATCTGGCATACACCACAACATCAGGGATGAGCAGTAGTGTGGAGTCCCAGGCGAACCAGACACTTCCCTCAGGTCAGGACACTTACAGACAGCTTGAGTAATGTACCTCAACAGGCCCCAGAGCATCTGACACAATGACGTTCATGACAGACATCAGGCTGAGGGCACTGTTCCAGCCCTTCCCTGTCATGGAGTTTTTCCTTAGAGCTCATGTGATACACGCCAGGGCTAAGGAAGGCAGCTGCTTCCCGTCTGGTGAGGGTGCTGGCAGGTGGGGAAAACTTAAGAGGGCTTAGGTTCATTTTCTGAGAGAAAATGCCTTAATTCTTATTTCTACATATGTAATATTTGACAGCATCCATGCTAAGAGCCTCACTGCAGAGAACACTCTGGAGAGAGACATCATTGAGGAAAACAATAAGCAAATAACCAAGACTTTGGAGGGGCACTAACTGTTCCGAAATCTCGTCTCCAAGTCTTCTGGTAGGCCCGAGGGAGACTACTGGAGAATCAGGGCGCAGGTCAAGCTCCACGCAACTTCTAAAGCGTCTTTACAGACATCCACACAGAAGTCCTGTCCTTCGCTGCCTTCCAAACAGGCCCAGCTCTCTCAAACTGCAAAGCATATGCTGGGCTCCTGCATCTGCCTGGTCCAATCTCAGGCTCAGGAGGAGTGAGGGTGGGGTGGGACCTGCACAACTGCATCACACTGGCTCCTTACAAACCGAGCCCCAGGGACAGCAATGCACGTGGAAGTCTCAGGAGGCCAGAGGTGGAAAACCAGTACCTAAGAGTCCATTTCTTACTCTACCTTTCTGGCTAGAACTTCCCTATTCTATTCTAAAGCTAGGTCTTAGCAATGCATTGTTTTTGTTGATGTTGTTGTTTTGTCTTTTTTTTTGTGTGTTTTGAGACAGGGTCTCACTTTGTAGTTGAGACTGATGTGGAACTCATTATGTAGCCCAGGCTGGTCTCTATCAGTGATCCTCCTGCCTCAGCCTCCCGAGTGCTGGGATTACGGGTGTGCGCGACCATACCCAGCAGCAATACATTATTAAAATGACAGCTTCACTGAGACAGTTCACTTGGGAAGGTTTAAAAACCTGCCAGGGAAATTCAATTTGTGGTTACAAAGAGTAACGAAGCTAATACGCACTCTCATTCTGGTTGAATTCCTCCCACGGGTGTGAACTTTCAAAAAATTTATCTGAATCTTTCTCATTATCTACCACCTAAGAAATTACCTTTAACTCCCTAACTTGTGCTTTCTCAAAATCCAGTGCCAGCTCCAGCAACTGATGGGCAAATGAGGTGACGCTGTGAGCAAGAAGACACCAGGTAACTGAGGACGCACCGGTCACACTTGGCCAAGTCCTAAGAAATGTCCAAGGCAACACCGGGCGACGCAGGCCTCCAGAGAGTGCAGAAGGCATGGACAGTTCTATCCTCAGTGACAGCCAATAATACCTAATACTTTTTTTTTTTTTCTTTTTGAGTGGTAGGGCTTGAACTCAGGATCTTTGCATTTAACTGCATCCTCAGTGTCTTGTCTTTCTGTCTCTCTCTCCCCCTCCCTCCCTCTCTGAATTTTGAGACAAGGTCTCTAAATTGCTAAGTGGCCCAGGTTGGGCACAAACTTGCAATCCTCCTCCTTTAGCTTCCCACAGTGCTGGGATATGAGCACCACCATGCCCAGCTTGCTACTTTTAACCTTAACTTCTGAAGAGGCCTATAAATTCTTGCAACTCAGAATTGTAAAAATGCACGCCAAACAAACAAAAAAACCACACACCTTCAAGACACAGAGGCCAGTCCACCCCTGCACTGACTGCCCAGTTCCATCCCCTCAGCCATCTGTAACTGCGCTGTCTGGATTCTTGGGTACTCTGCAGTTCTGTGGGGAGTGTGGGCATCCATGAATGTATGTGTGTGGCCTTACATTCCCTAGGTTTTACACCAGCGGTGGATTCAGACACCCTGACCATACCTGGCTTTGGCAGCATACACCCCATGGCCACCTCAGGAGGGGCTTGGGCTCTGTCCAGGCTGCACTACCAAAGCTTTCTGGTGTCAGATCTGGGTCTCCCCCTTCCAGGGCACATACCCGCCCCCCCCAGCTCCACGGCACACCTGGTGGGTGCCTAATGCTCCTGCCTGGCTCACCTGACCCCACCCTGGCCCTCCCTGCCTCTAGTCCTCTGTGGCCAACACCCTCTTGCTCTCTGAGTCCTCCAGGCTTCCCACACGTGCCACATACCATGAATTACATGACCAGGTGCTCAGGAGCCGTGGGTTGCTGGATCCACTGCTGTAGAAACTTTAGGAATTTCTTTATACTGGCCTCAATCTCCCCTCTAACCTCCTCTGCCCAGCAACCCCGCAGCATATCTCTGAAGACCTGTCCCTCAGTTTTCTCAAAGCACAGCATTCCTAGCCCTCTCACTTGACAGACTAGCTTGTGATAGATGCCGGGCAACAGGCTGTGTTGCCTGTGCACACGAGTTTCCTGTCCTGAGGTCTAATGAACAAAATGACAGGACACAATACTTCTGGAAGGAAATCGTCCATCTACCACTTGTCAGAGGGTTACTAAATTTTTTAGCAAACTCATCAGTTATGGAAAGGGAGAATATGAAGCTCCAAATGTGAGTACAAAAACGTGTGCTTCAAATGTTAAAAGGCTGAGAACGCATCCTAGGTCTGTCTGTCAGTCAGAGGGCTGGGATGGGCAGCTGGTGTTCACGATGCCACTCATGCAGAGGCTAAGCTGTGATGCCTTCCAGGAGAGGAAGGAAAGAAGCGCCCAGTTAACTGAGCTCAGCTCGGTTTGTACAATTCCCAGTGCTGGGAATTCTGTACCGTTATGTAAATATGGTTTGTATCTGGAACATGACATTTACCCCAGAGTTTTGTTTTGTTTTGTTTTTTTGCACCGGGAAGAGAACTAGAGTCCTTGCACTTGTGAGGCAGATGGTGGAACCACTAAGCTAAATCCCCAGCCCCCGTTAATGTAAATATGCAGAAGATGCTCTTTGCAATTAGCTCCTGCAAGGTTTCTTTCTTCAAAATTTTTTTGGTAAAATTTATCTATTTTTAATTTTTTCCTAGTTCTATTCAGGTATGTTTCTGGTGTACCATGTGATGTTCTGATAAACACACACTGAGGGTAGTCTATTTCTTCCCAGGACGCTGGGACTTGCTAGCTTAAAAGCAAAAGCTTTACAGATACAGCTCTTAAATAGCCCAAATAAGCTGGTCATTGGCCAGGCCTTCATGCCTGGTGAGCTCACTGGCAGCTCTGCCTGCTGAGAAGGGCCCCCGTGAGGACACGGCTCAGAGCTGCGGGGCGCTGAACCCGCCTAGAACCCATGCCTCCTGAGCCTCTACCAGACGTGCAGCTCCTCTTCCCAGGGCCACTGGTCCTCGTCCCCTTCAGGAAAGGGCGCCACCTGGGAGGCTCGGGAGGGTCTTGTGCAGTGACGGAAAGACCATCGTCCTCCTCCTGCCTCTAGGGGACCTGCCCTTTCCCCATCAGACCCAAGGCCCTCAACCTGCTCATGCTCTGGAAAACTGTGTGGTGGGGCCAAGCCGGGCCTTGGCCCAGGGCCCCAGGCCAGGAGAAGCCCTAGAGAAGCGCATCTGCTGGGGCAGACGCCAGGCCGAGTCGGCTCACGTGACTGTTTTCAGGAGCAAAAACAAAAGCAGGTCCAACTTTCCCTGCAGAAGAACTGCGCCTGAACCCAGTTCCTTGTGTGGCTGTGCAGAGGGCTGGTTTGTCCTCCCACCTCTTTGGCAGGGTCACAGCTGCAACCCACTCTTGTAAGAACCAACAGGAAAGGGGGAACCACATAGTCCCCCTGCACCATAGTAGGTGAGAGGCGGGATAAAAATCCTACCCGTTCTCAAAGATGAGCCGACACTTAGGGTGTCAAGGTACCTGTGCGTGATTTCATTTCCAGACCCCTTGGATATTTCTGTCCTCTGTGTTTCTATTCAGCCACTGGTTCCTAACCCAGCCAGGGCAATGGCCAGGTTACTATGCCTCCTTCTAGGACGAGCAGGACCAACAGCGCCGTGTCCTCACAGGCCAGCAGACTGGCATCTGCATGGTGGGTGACTGCCAGGCTGAAGATGTAAGGGACGAGACCCCACCCCCGCAAAGGGGTGCAAGTGCCAGTGAGAGAACTGAGAGGCGGCCGAGAGATGACCACAGGGCCGGGGATTTGGCTCAGTGGTTCCGCTGCCTGCCTTGTAGGTACAAGGACCCTAGTTCAATGCTCTGTACGGAAAAAAAAAAGAAATGGCCATAGCGGTGGTGAGCAGCTAAAAGCCATCCTTGCTGTGTGGACACAGTGTGGCAGTTCCTCCAAAAGTCAAGCAGGACTACCCGTGTGACCCAGACCCCAAACATTAGAGCGCAGGGTCAACCCAGACGCCTGAAGCTTGAGCTACAACAGCTAAAACATGGAAGCAGCCTGAGTGCCGCTGGACAGATGAATGGAGAGCAAAATGGGGCCCATACACATGACGGGGCAGTAAGGGTTCAGTCTCGGAAGAGAGGGGAGACGCCAGCCACAGAGGACCCTGATCCCACTCAGGGTCCCAGAGCAGCCAAACTCCCAGAGGCGGAGGACAGAGCTGGGTGCTGGTGTGGAGAGTGGGACGGGAGGCCTCTCACCAGGACAGACTCAGATCTGCACAAGGCGGAGTTCCAAAGACGGCACCATGGCAGCTGTACAGGAAGGCACGCATGCCGCGTGTCCCTGGACTCTCCATGTAAAAGCGGCTGAGATGATCAATCGCATCCTGTGGGCTTTTTAACATGTTCACAACAGGACTGTAACCTGTACGTCTGATGTCAGGAGGCTCTGAACCACTCGTGGCACATGCATGGCCGTCCCCTCGGGCAGCATGGGACAATCTCATCTGGTGACACAAGCTGCCCAGGGACAGTCCTGTACATACGACGGGTAGTACACCAGCAGGAACGTGTTAACCACAAATAATTTTAAAAAGTCATTGAAAATGTTGCATTTCCAAGCCATCTGCCACATTTATTGTTTGTCTCTCTTCACGCAGCTTCTGTAGTAACCTTCACGCTTCCCCCGCTACGGACACCCAGACCAGCAAGCCTGGCCGGAGGCAGCTGAGCTCACAGCCCTGAGCTGACTGCCAGTCTGAGGGGTCACCCTCACCCACAGGGCTGGAGCTGGCAGACACCACCAGCTCCACATCAGTCCCGGGGTATACCACTGGGGTTCCAGCACGGTTTGCACCAGAGACACAGGCAGGGCCATGGATCAGGGCTCTGGCTTGGAGAGCCGGCTCACTGTACACGGCTACCTCACCCCCCCATCCCCTAAGCACCACCAGGGTCCCTCTGGGGGCTGAAGCCTCCAAAGATGTGCTTTATTGAGCTGGCACTCATTTGCAGAAATGCCAGGGCCCACCCGATGCACCACACCAGCCACACATCTCCTTTGCCTGGCTCAGAAGGGCTGTGGGGCTGCCTTTGTGCCCACTGAATGCCGAAGTCTGGATGGCCCCAGGTGGGACAGCTAGAGCAGATGGCGGGGCCGGTCCCCACGGCCGTCTGAACCTTCTTCCGTTTCCCAACACCCACTGGCAAGTGGGACCCAACACAGCCTGGCATGTCCAGCTTTTTCACTATGCTGACTGCTCTGTCTGCACATATGACCTGTCAGCGATTCAGGTAAAACTTACTGGAGGTAGGCAATGCTCGCTCCTAAGAGTGCGGTGTCTTAACTGCTGCACGTGCTGTTACGCGTGCAGTGCAACTTGCAGCCCTCGCGCTCCTTACCCCCCTCGTAGTAGTGCTGTGTGGACTCCTCGAACGAGCGGTCGTAGCTCTGCTCCGTGTAGGATGACTGCTGGTAGGCGTAATCGCCATGGCCTGCAAGAAGTAGGTGACCTGTTGGTGGGGGCCCCTCACTGCCCAGGTCTAGGCAGAGATAGCCAAGCCATGGGACAGGGCAGGGAGGCCAGGCCAGGGATGAGAGCAGAGCTGGACAGAAGCCCATTCCTCAGGCGGCTGTGCACCTAACCTCTCCAAGCCGCAGCTTCCTTCCTCACTTTAAAATGCAGACGTCACTTCCTGTTCCCAAATTATGTGAGGCTAAGTTACAGTTTATGGAGAGGATCACATCTATTCAAAGCCTGCTTCGTGACAGCACCAGCTGCTCCCTTCTTGTCCCTGCCTGGCTTCTTTGGGGAGTTTCCAGGCAGGGGGTGCCATGACCCACCAAGGGGCCCTCAATGCGAGGCACCATCACCTCCCAAGGACACCACTTGCCCTGCAGCTGGTCTCTGCCATCCCCCCATCAGCCAGTGCAGCTGTGCACCCCTACCTCACACTTGCTGATGCCCAGTGTGCTGCATCCTCAAGGGAGCCCCATCCTTTTTTTTCTGGTACTGGAGATTAGACCCATATCCCCCACACAGAGCTACACCCTCAGCAGCCCTTTTAAATTTCTTGTTTTGTGACAGGGCCTTGCTAAGTTGCTCAGGTGGGACTTGAACTTGGATCCCTTGTGACAGCCTTCCAGAGTACTGAGCTTACAGTTCTGTGCCACCACGCCCAGCTTGGAAGCACCATCTTTGTCTCCTGAAGTTGTCCATCTTCCCAGACCATTTTAAGTGCCACATCCACACATCCTAGGACATTTTAAAGATGCCTCCAAGGTGAGAAGAAAGCAATCTGCAGAAGTGACAACGAGCGGCCAGGAGGCAAGGGCTGCTAGACATGGACTTGCAGGGTCAGGCGGGGTCTGCCAGCTTTCTGCACACCCTTCTCTGCCAGTCTGGCCCCATCTTGCTGAAAGGTTTGCCTCTGCCTACTACAGGGGTCACTGTCCCTGCCAGCATTCTGGGGGAAGGGAGGAGCCCCAGGGAGGGAAGCTTTCTGTGGAAATTAGCCCTCATCCTGACCCCAACGTGGAGGCAAGGGGCACTTGAGAGGGTCTGCAGTTGCTATGTCAGGGGATGCGGCTCTAGATGCCTGAGGAACAGTGAGCCAAGGGCTCGCATGCATGCTCACCATCCGGGTAGTACTGCTGGCTCATCGGCTCCGAGGCACCCTGGCTGTGGCTGTACTGCTCACTGTAGTACTCCTCTTGGCCCAGGTACTGCTGGGAAGAGCCTGTGGGTGGACACGGCACTCAGGACACTGGCGGCTGGGAGGCTTCACTCACACAGGAGCACCCCACACAGCCACTGAGGCAACTGGGCCTCCTCTTTTCCAATGCCCAGCCCTGAAACACTCTGTACTTTGCACCTGGAACAATCACCAGCCTCCCATGCTCCCAACACCCACTCCCCAAAGACATCAGACCCATGCTTGTCCCCACCAGGAACTCTAATAGCAAAACCCCTCAGGTTGCCAGTACCCTACTTCACCTTGAGATGTGAACCTCACAACCCTCCAGTTCAATAGAGAAACCTGCGCACTCCGGCCCTGCACACCAGACTGCAGTCAGGCGAACCGTTGTGCTGGCCGGGTGCACCGGCAGGCCTCACCTTGCTGGGAGGCCCGGTAGGGTGCCATGGGCCGCTGCCCCATCATGCTGTTCCCCTGGCCACCCTGGCCCATCATGGCGATGGATGACTGCCCCTGGTAGTGTTGGCTTCCGCTCTGCGCTGAGTTGTAGTGTGATGTGGCCGCTTGCTGGTGCATCATGGAAACTAGGAGACAGGACAGAGACCCCCAAATTGTCCTGAGGAGGCTGGGGGAGCGGAAACCCTTGCCCTGTCTTTCATTTCCCCTTCTGCTGCAAGCCTGACTCCCTTCTTCTTGGCTGACTCTTTATTATTTTCTCAGGTTCCCCATGAGAAAATCACCCTGGACTCCAAGTCACAGCCTCAACAACACAAGCTGTGCCCATGGCCCATGTGTGGTCTGACACCCCCTGCACAACCGTTTTAAATGTACCGATGCTGGGACCTTAGAGGCAGCTTCGGTGGGACAGCCTGGGGCTCCCACGGCAAACAAAAGCACAAGCGACCCCTACAGTTCCCCACCAACCTGGGCCCAGGAAACTCTGTCCCCTTCTTCCTAGAGCTGGGCCCGAGACGAGTCACCCTGTCCACATGTGCCACCAAGCTCAGACACTGCCAGAGCAGTACAACAGTAGGACAGGAACCATGTAAAGGTTCTAGTAACCATATTGAAAATTTGAGGCTGGGCATTGTGGTGCACACCTATAATCCCAACACTTGGGAGGCTGAGGCAGGAGGATTGCTGTGAGTTCAAGACAGCCTGGGCTACATAGTGAGAGTTTCAGGTCAGTCTCAACTACATAGTGAGACCCTGTCTCAAAAAAAAAAGAAAATTTGAGTAAAACACCCAGGGTGAAATCAATTTTAGTAATACGTTTGATTGCAGCTAATACTTCAAAAGTAAATTTTTAGCATTTTGGGTAAATGACCTGCGAATTGGTGGCTTTACTGCTCAGGGAACACCACATCAGGACCTGCAAATCCCATGTTCTCCATGCTGTGGCCAGACAACCCTGCTTGAGGGTTCCAGCCTGGTATCCACCAAGCTTCATCCTTTCCACCTTTGATGCCGCCAGGTAACCCCTGCATAAGAACGACTCTGCCCCACCTCTGAGCCCAGTGCTGTCCTTCGGACCCAGCCTTTCCTTGGAGTCCTCCCTCAAGCCTCTGTGAGAAACAGCGGGGGCGGCAGCACTGCCTTGGGAGAGGCTACCACACTACGTCTCGCTCTGCTCTGCTCTGGTGCTATCCACAGGTCCGCACCTCGGGGGCCTCCTGTGAAGCCTGACTTTCTGAAGGTCCTGGCGCCAGGCCATGCTCCCTGGGCTGTGTGGTGGCAGAGCAGGTAGTACCTGGGTTGGACTGCATGTTGATGTTGGTCCGAGACACATAGTTGCCGATGGCTCCTTGGCCCTGCATGGGGACACTCTGCGAGGCAGGTCCTGAGTGGCTATAGCCAGGCGCAGTGCCATGGCCACTACCCGACATGCTCATGGAGGTCGTAGGAAGCGTGCTCTGTGCTGTCTGCTGCATGGACACATGGTTTGGACCTGCGGGAGTCGGGTGGGGAGGGCATCAGCGGCCAGGTCACCACCTCTGGAGGTGAAGATGCCCAAGGCTTCTTCAGGTTTAGAGAAGGGAGGCTAACCCAAGGTCAACACACCGCAAGTGAAGTAATGATTAGCTGATGAATGTGAGGACACACACACACTAATTAGATACAAGACGACCCACATGCCTGTCGTTAAACTGCTCTTAACAGTTTCCAATCCACTAGGCATGGTAGCACACACCTGTACTCCTAGAGATTAAGGCAAGAGGATCACAGTTGGAGCTCAGCTTGGGCAAAAAAAAAAAAGAAGCAGCAGCAGCTAAGAATTTAGCTCAGGCTTGTAGTGGGGGTGGGCGTGGGGCAATCCAAAGACAGTAACAATTCTTTCTTACTAGAAACCCACACGGTGCATCTGAAGTGAGCATACCTGACTGTGACAGTGTTTGAACAGAGCTGGGCTAGAGCTTCACTGAGTCTTCACGCTCCTACCACCTTGCACTGTGCCCAGCCGCGGAAGCTGCCCATTGACCTTGTTAATGGGAATGCTCCCTGCTGCAGACTCACCATTGCCAATCTGGCCTTGCATGAGGGAGGCCGGGGGCAGGCCAGTGCTGATGGCGTCGCTGAGGCTGCCCTGGGGGTGCAGGCCCTGGCTGGAGCCGCTCTGACTCAGCCCTCCGGGGCCCAGGTTCATGTTCTGGGTTGGTGGCTGCAGGCAGTGGGAAGGTTAGGGGAGCACAGTTAACTCAGAGAACAACTGCCACAAGCCACCCCAGGGATTTAAGGCCCATGAGATTTGCGCTACATTCACAACCAGCTGTCGTCAGGCCCATCTGCTACAGCCACGTCACACTCAGCAGGGTGGCCACAGTCACCAGGCCAAGATGGAGATGGTAAGGTGGTCCATACAGACCTTCAGAACACAAACAAGAGCTAAGTTTCTCTGCACATTTGGATGCTAAAGGCTGGTGCCCTTTCTGGGGTGAAAGGGGCTCCTTCATGGCTGCATCCTGCAGTTACCTGCCAGGCACCTCGACATCCACACCCCCTCCATGTCTCAGGGCCTCTGCATTAGCTGGCTCGCTGCTCTCATGTCTCTGTTCCCCCAAGGGCACTCCCATCACAGGACATAGCAGGGAGGAGCAAGTACAGGTGGCCCTCAGCCCCTCACTTCTAGCTCTAGGTCTGTCTACACCTGGCCACCAAAAGAAAGCGTTAGCAGATCTGCTGCTCCAGAAGAACTGGATCTAACAGGTCAGTCAGCTGGTTTCACTTTCTACGCTAATGAAACTCATCCTGGCAGAAAATGTCACCATTTCCACGGGAACCAGTGGTACTGGAAAAGTGAGCCGCCCCTGGTGACACATGTGTCCTGAACCTCACTGCCAGCCATGGTCAACCTGGGGCTGGTACCTTTCTGGTCTGAGCTTTCCTCAGCACAAGGAGGCCAAGGCTGCAGGTACAGGACTGCTTCATAGTAAAAACTTAATTTGAAGAAAATGCACTTGAAAAATCAAGCAGAAAATAAAACAATGATACTGACACCTGAACTGCACTGGGGGTTTCCCCTTTCAGACCTGCTTACGGTCACAGTGCATGTGCATGGGCCATAACTGTTCACACCACGGGGAGAACTTATAGTGATCCAGCCTAGGTTTGATCCCTGAACCACAAGGAGGTGGGGGTACAACCAACAAGAGCTCCTCCCACTCTGCTTGCCTGCCCAACACCCACCGCCCCCCACTCCTAGTGGGCTCGCCTCTCTGTTGAACTGCTTGAAGGCCTGGTCCAACTCATCCACCTCAGTCTTTCGCTCCCGCGTCATGGGAGGATCATGTCACCATCCCCACGCCCACAGTCTCTGGTATGTCCCCTGGTATGTGGTTCTGTGGGTCACTTTCCTACTTGAGGTGACATGCTCAAAACCTGGTTTGTGGCACAGTCTGATCCTTGCTGGTAAGAGGGGAGCCCCGGTTCCCCAGCTGGCAGGTACTCACGGCAGGGAGCAGGGACTGCATGTTCTGGTTGGAGTCTGCTATGGTAGCCAGGTAGACCAGGTTCCGGTGCAGTATCTGCTGGTACCTATGGTGGAGTGCGTCCATGAGGCAGGGACCTCAGCCAAAGCCCACCCAGGACAGTGGCCCCACAAGATACCTAGCCACAAACAGGCACATGGCAGTACTCAGTGGGCCAGGGATCCAGCTGAGTCCCCAGCAGGCTCCTGTCCTGTGACAATTCTAGAAAGACACTGAAATGGGGCCAGAAGGGAGGTGGCACTGGATCTGTTCAGAGAATGAAGGTTGGAGGACAGGCCACAAGAAGGCAGGGCCTGCATGTGACAGAGGAGAGGCTAGGGGACAGAACCCTGCTCCAGCAGAGCCAGGCATCAGGCTGACTCCATGGTGCCAGCCACTGTGAGAGGCATGGAAAAGAAATAGGAATGGTCTGGGGGACCCAAGGACTTCTGCACGTCACACCCTGGGACCCAGGCCACTTACATACGTCAAAGGTCCAGTGTCTCTCACAAAGGTCACCCTGGGGAGGGACAGCCTGAGGTCCCTCTCTACTTCCTGCCTCCTCGTATACCTATCGACCAGCACCGCCTACGCCATGTCCTGGCAGGCCCAGGCGTCAGTGAGGTCCCACCTGGAGATGCTGGCCGTGCATGGTGCGTCCACGACTGGCCATGGAGCTGGGCCTGTGGCCGCCTGGCCTCCCCAGCACTCCTCCCCTCCGCCATGCCCTTCAAGCTGCTCCCACTCCTGGCTACAATGCTTCCACTTCATCTGAGGCAGGGAGGTGCTCAAGGGTGCATCTGACCTGGGCTCCTGACATGGATACACACGGGTCCGCGTCCCCAGTGCTGGGAGAAGGTGGAGCACGCTGCCAGGACGGGCAGCTAACTCACTGTGTGCACTCAGCCGTCTTGCCCTTGCTCTGGTAGTCCAGGATGCACTGGATCAGGTGGTGGTTCTCGTCCAGCATCTGCAGGGGACGACACAAACGGGGCACACGTGTGGTCCCTCAGGGGCTTCCTCAACATGGCCCAGAGATTCAGCCAGTTCACAGCAAGGATTTTGGGACCCTGGGAGCCATGGCTGCCTTGGTGGCTGCGGTGACTGGGGGCATCCTGGGCACCACACTCTTAGAGTGACAGCCCGCTGGACCTGAGACCAGGTGGGGGCCTTCCCCAGAGCCACTCCTGGCCACCTGGCAGACCCCCCAGGACCCTGGGGTGGGCTTGGCCCCATCCACAGGCCGGGCTGACTCCCTCGCCCTCTGAGGTCAGGTCCTGGTGAGGCAGCCGCCACCTGTCCCTGGTCCCTGCTGGCAGGAGGCTGTCCCTGATGGGGCAGTGTCCTCCCCGGCTGCCCACCTGCACTAGATGGTTGTGACATCAATCAGGTTTGGGAAGGGCAGGTCTTCCCTGGTGCTGGGGCCCCACACCAATCCCAAAGTCCCCACGTGGAGGGTAAGGCAAACCCTCCAATCACAGCTGCATCGGGGGGGGCACCAGGGCACACAGGACACAGGGCACTCATGTGCACCCCTGTAGGGCCCCGGAAGACCTCTCAAGAGGCTGCCACTAGCCTGGGCTGGTGAGAGGAGCAAAGGGGATGGTGCTGCTGGTGGAAGGGGCTGCAGGTACCCAAGCTGGGCACAGGAAGTGCAGGTGGGACCAGGACTGTGTATGACCTGGATCTGGGGCCAGCAAGCTGCAGCCCCCCGCCAAGCCATGAGCTCAACACGAACGAGGCAGGCAGAAGGAGCAGCCCGCATCCCGGGGAGGGTTGGGGAGGGAGGCATGCTGTGCTGTGGGCCTCTTGCCGGCCCAGCCGACCTTGCTGAGTTCACAGGTAGGCAGGCAGACAGACATGCAGATGCCCTAAGCTGGGCCAGGGCTCTCTGAGGGGACCACAGGCTCTGTGTCCAGGACATGGACAGCAGGCCCTCACTCCTCCAGGTGCTCTGTGGAGCCATCACTGCTAGGATGTGGTCCAAACCACGGATCCTTGGGCCTGCCCTGCCCAGGTGGCTCATGGCCTGCAGTGTCTAAGAGGTGCAGGGCTGGCTCTGCAGAATTCCGGCACACTTCTTAAATCTAGGTGTCCGAGGACCCCATGTCCACAGATCCCCAGAGCTGCCACTGCACCCTCTGGCATGTGCTGGGTCCAGTGGCCGGCAGGGTACAGGAGGCAGGCGAGAAGATTCCCTGGGAGCAGCACTAGAACAGCATGGGAGACTGAGTTGGGTGACAGGGGGCAGGAGGCGACGGGAGGACATGGCTGTGAAAAGTGTGGTAGGCCCTAGGCAGTGTGACTGAGCCCATCACACGCCGCCCTCTTGTCCACAGAGGCCTGTAGTCAGACCCTCTCACAGAAAGTGCTGGTGCCTGTCACCTCCACCACACCGGTCATCTCAACGCCAGGAGGTCTCCCCAGGCAGTGACTCTGTAGAGGGTGGAATCTCAGCAGCTGGGATGGAGGGACTGGCCTACCTGCCCTGGCCGCTTGGGCTGCCGACACCTCCCTCCACCTCCCTTCACCTCCCATGTCTACCCTTGGGGTCCAGTTTCTCTCCCAAGTGTCAAGATGCGGAATTCAGCTGGGCCAGCCTGAAACAGGCAACCACCAGGGGGCGCTGCCAGCTAAATGCTAACTGTGAGCCCACCTGTCCATAGGTGAGAGTGGTTAAATATGCAGGCAGATACCCTGGCCTAGGTTAACACCACATTTGGGCTGGGCACTGAACTGCCAGTCTGTCCCATTGGTCAGCTGTACCAGAGGTGGTACAAATGGGCCTAATCACTTTTATGGATCTTTTACTAATAAAAATGAGAGTCCTACACATACCACTGGTGGTTCAAGCCACCCAGGCAGCGAGACATTCAAATGATGGACCCACCGTGAACATGTTAACAGAGGGAAACAACCTCAAGAGCCTTTTTCTGTTCTCTGACGCCACCCTAAAAGGCTTCTTGGTACTACTCACTCCCGGGAGGGGTTCTCTCCAAGGGCACAAAGCAAACACCTTAAATGATCCACAAAAGGGAACACCAGGCAGTCAGTGATGGGATTACTAGAGCAAATTATGTTGTAATTGTAGGATGGGCTTTGCCCTGCCCTAACAGTGCTTTGTACGCTTGGCAAGAACAAGGAGATGCTGTACCCTTGCCATGTTTTTTTTTTTTTT